AGTGTGAGGAAGCTCAGTAGATCTGTTATAGTAAAAATTACAAAAAAAAGTTATTAACAAAAATTGTAGGCAGCTTTAAACTCCATATTTTAAAATTAGTTACAATCCTACAGGGTGTTCCATAAGATGGTGGCAGACCAAACTTATGTTTTTTTAAATGAAACACCCTGTATTTTATTTTAAATTTGAAATCTGCTTCACTTCCACATTACAACAATGTAAAGTTTTATTATGTTATACCGGGTATTTAAAAAGTTATAACCAATATTACCTGAAAATCGTATCAAGTTTAACTCCCTGTATAATTAAAAAGGATTGTAGGAACATTGATCTATTGCAACCATAGTTTTTTAATAATTGTTAAAAACTATAAAACATATTCATTTTCATAATATTCTTTAAATCAAATACAGGGTAAGTCAAAATGCAAGTTCATTATTTTCTTGGTAATTTTAAATAGAACACCCTGTATTTTATATCACTATCGAAAAGAACTAATATCGTACTTCATATTTTATGAAGTACTCCCTATACCTAAAGTTATTAGTTTTAAAGATATTTTTATTTTTCCATCAAAGTATTAATTTGGTAGATATTTTAACGTTTACCAATAATTATTGTGAGTTGGCCATGATTGATTTGTCAGAAACTGACAGTTTCACATTAATATTTATTAATTCAGTATTGGGGTACACCGTAAATTAGCAACAATTATTATTTAGTAATTCAGTAATTGATTCAATTTAAATTAGCAATAATGAATTTTACTACTGATGAAATGGTAGATATGATCTGGATATTGGGGGAATGCAATAAAAATTCATTACTATCAGCTAGAATTGATCAAGAACGGTTTCCAGATAGGCGACAACCTAGACAAGATACATTTGAAAAATTGAAAGATCGATTTAACCGCACTGGTTCAGTGAATTATGAAAAACATGAACGAACAAAAACTAGTGTGACAGAGGAAAACGAAATGAGTGTGTTGATGGCGGTTACAGAAAACACATACACAAGCATAAGGACTATTTCCAATGAACAAGAACTTAGTTACTACTCTGTTCAAAACATTCTATCTAAAAACAAGATGCACCCTTATCATATTCAAAAGCGCCAAGAATTAATTAATGATGATTTTCAGAAACGAATAGTATTTTGTGAATGGGCCTTAGAAAAAATTAATGAGCAGAGAGATTTTTTTGATTATGTCCTATTTGGTGATGAAGCTACATTCCATCGAAACGGTTCTTTTAATAGGCATAACTTTCACTACTACTCAACAAGTAATCCATACCACATAATAACACATAGTCAAACAAGATGGTCTCTAAATGTGTGGGGAGGTATCGTCGGTAACCATGTAGTAGGACCATATTTTTTTGAAGATAATTTAAATGGTGAGATTTATTTAGATTTTATCGTAAATCAGTTACCGATATTATTAGAAGAGGTTCCACTTAATATACGTGAAAAAATGTGGTTTCTACATGACGGTGCTCCTGCGCACCACAACGAATTAGTACGTGGTGAACTTAATAATCAGTTTGGGGAAAGATGGATCGGAAGGGATGGACCGGTAAGGTGGCCCCCAAGGTCACCAGAATTCAATAAAATGGACTCATTTTTTTGGGGTTACGTTAAGAACGAAGTATATAAAATACCCCCAACAACAAGGGATGATATGAAAAATAGAATCCGAATTGCATTTCAAAATATTTCTTTACAAATGCTTAGTAATGTAACCAACTCTTTCAATGACCGTTTTCAAGCATGCATAGATGTTTTGGGAGGTCATTTTGAACACCTTACTTAAGTAAGATAAGTTAAACTTACTGTTGTTTTTAATTTTTCTATGTGTTGTTATATATATTTTTTTTATTTTCCGTCGGTTATTTTTTATAAATTTTATTTTAAATAAATTGTTTTCTTTTCTGTGTCGTTATTTCGTTACTAAATTATTAAACAATAATGTCAAACTGTCAGTTTTTGACCAATCATAACCAACTCACGATAATTATATTGTGAGTTGGTAAACGTTAAAATATCTACCAAATTAATACTTTGATGGAAAAACAATAATATCTAGAAAACTGATAACTTTAGGTATAGGGAGTACTTTATAAAATTTGAAGTACGATATTATTACTTTTTAATAGTGATATAAAATATTTAAAAACTATGGTTGCAATAGATAAATGATCCTATACTCCTTTTTAATTGCACAGGGAGTTAAACTTGATACGATTTTCAGGTAATATTGGTTATAACTTTTTAGATACCCGGTATAACATAATAAAACTTTACATTGTTGTGATGCGGAAGTGAAGCCGATTTTAAATTTAAAATAAAATACAGGGTGTTCCATTTAAAAAAACATAAGTTTGGTCTGCCACCATCTTATGGAACACCCTGTAAGATTGTAATTAATTTTAAAATGTGGAGTTTAAAGCTGCCTACAATTTTTGTTAATAACTTTTTTTAGTAATTTTTACTATAACAGATCTACTGAGCTTCCTCACACTAATCAATCACCCTGTATATCTACTGCTATGTACTACATACAATAGGAGGGAACGAGTCAAAACAAGGAATGAAAAACTTTTCCAAAGAAATTTATTTTTGTGCTCATATCTGGTGAAGAGGATAAGCTTAAGAATTTCGTTACAAAGAATAATTTAAACAATTAAAATATGGACTGTTTATATTCTATAGAAAAAGCTAATCAATATTTTTTGTTTTTCAGAGTCAAAGCTGCTCTAACCCAGTTTGCTGACGTGTGATTTCCCTAATTTAAAATTCTTTCTTGCACATAAAACCCTTTACGTAATTTATTGTGATTTTAATGTAGACTGAGTATGTATTTAAATAAAAAAAATGTATGTACTTTAAGTCCTACAATTCATAATTAAAAAAAAAAGAGTACCTTATTATTGTTTCAGTTATTTTGTGTTACAGTTTTAATGCACACAAATTACATTGTGTTAACACTAGATCTGAATTTTATTAAACAACTCTTATAAAGAGAATTATTTGTTTTTTTTTCTATTAGTTTTTTACCTGTATTGGTCAGAGTTTCCCAAAATGGCGCCCGACCTAACGCAAAATGTCTCCAAGAGCGCTGCGACTGCCTCGGCAAAAACAGACAAAATTTGAAAAATCCTTTTTAGGATTGTTGTGCTTTTATTGTTGCCAATATTATCCAAACCAATAATTGTTGTGCTTTTATAAAATTTTCTAAAAGCATCTAATAATTTCGTGTACATTGGTAACAACTCGCATTTGCCTATAAAATGGCACAAGCGTAGTGAGACGAGTTAGTGTCACTTGGATGTATAGCTTGTCTCAAAATATATTGGCTTGGATTTACCGTTGTCAAAGAATCAGTGTTATTATTGCCATTGTCATCAATGGAATAACCAAAGTTATTGGTTCTTAGTAACAAAACATCAGAGGCGGAGTTCAAGTAAAAATAATAACGATTGTATTTCAAGACCTCCATTTTATTATAAAAAAAATGTTTTATTTGATAATAAATGTTATATCATGTCCAATTCTGATTTACTGTCATGAGTCCTCATTTGAAATAATTACAATGGATTGTATATTACAACTTTGCATAGACTGATAGGACTGTTTAACTTATATTTTATTCTGAATTTTTCCAGTTTTCTACCGATATATTAGAGAGATATTGCAGAGTCACTTTTGCACTTGCTGTAACAACAAACGTTATTTTGACAGTAGAGCATGCGCAGATGTGATATTTGGCTTACGCTACGTTATTGAAAATACGACCTGTCGTTATTAGGGGAGCCGTTACGCTGTACGGAATTCGTTGCGCTATTTCCTTTATCAGGTTATATTTGTTGTCTTTCATTTAAACCATTTAATGTAATCATTTTAATGAGGACATCAGACAGTAGCAAATCAATCAGATTTACGTCTGATGACGATTTGTGTTTATTAAAACAAGTTTTAGGTCAAAATCCATTGAGCTTGCCTGCTAAACCTAAAATTTATTTTTATATCTGCTTCCAACATGTCTTCTAAATTAAATTCTTGATTTTGTGGATGTAATACATGTTCACCTACAATGTTATTTAAAATTATGAATTCTACATTATCATCATGAGTATTTTCTAAAATAAGTGCTTCTAAATCATGATCCATTTTTTATTAATTTGCGAACAAATGAAAAGAAAACATAAACAACGTAAATAACTGTCGAAATAGCGTGGTGTAAATAGTGCAGCGCAGAGATTTTTTTCATTTTTCAATAACTCTATTATTTACAACAGTTTTAATTAACTGTATGACAGTGGCACTCAGGTTAGAAAACTATTTTCCGCCCTCACCTTTACTTTAACTTGTTGCCACATTGCTCAATAAGGTTAAATACACAATGGTACAGTGGAAGATGTAACACTGTATGCCCCATTTGCTTTGCGAAGTTATCTCTTACATTTTGTATTTTAATATTAAATGTATTTAACACTTCTAGTAGTTATTTGTTATCATCAATCAGCCAATCGCGTCCACTGCTGGACATAGGCCTCCCTTAGTTCTTTTCAGTGTTCTCTACACTGGGCCGCTTGTAGCCAGTTTCCCGCTACACGTTTTATATCATCGGTCCATCTAGTCGGTGGTCGTCCTCGGCTTCTTTTATAGTTTCTGGGCCTTCATTCCATAATACGTCTTGTCCACTGTCCATCTTGTGTTCTGGCTGCATTATGCATTTTAAATAAATAAAATGCATAATGTATGTCTGAATTGTCAATATAAATGAGCCAGATAAAATTAAATTATTAGAAGAATTTTTCACTATGTAACAAAAAACAAAATTTGTTTAATTTACTGTTTGTATTTTGAGAACGATTTCCGAAGTGCAGATTGAAACGTCAATAAACATATTTTTATCTTTAATTGTGGCTTATTCCCAGTCAAATAATAATTAATATATTCATACTGTTCAAAAAAAGTCAAACGACAATTCTGTAGGCATATATTTATCTTATGATTACAATCATAAATTGATAATCTATAGAGGAATGTATAAGATAAAATCGGGTAAAATTAAGTACAATTTGCATTCATAAAAATAGTTTCTTTGGTATTTGTAGCAGATCCATAAGCTTCCCAATTTGATTATTTTTAGAAATCTTCACCAAAATGATGTATACATAAAAATTTACATAACACATAAACTGACTAGTGTTTTTTAAATAATATGTGTAAGAGTTAAAACTGAAATACATTTTGGTGCAAAACTGTGGATGAGAACATCATCATGGAATGTGTTGTTCACAACCTACTGAGATTACTAATCATATTTAGTAAACACTACATTAAAATAATGTTTGATAAACTACTTTAAAAATTCAAATAAAAATAAATAACTAATTTTTCAAATTGTCAAAAGTCTTTAGCATGATTCTTTGGAATGTTTAAATATATAAAATAGGATAACAAAACCTCTAAGTGGAAACCTAGTGGCAAACTTATGCTCTGTCTGATGCAGTTGTGTTGTTTTCTACAACTGGATTTGCAAGAGGATCTAGTTCAGCAAATAGACTAAGCCAAGAAACTTTATTTTCATTTGTAGCATTATTCTCTCCAGTTTTGTCTAGAAGTTGATCAAAATTGTTTAGGTTTTGCTGTGCTGGATCTGTGGGTATGTTGAAGAATCCTTCTTGCATTAACTTTGAAGGCATAAAGTCACCTGACATGAAGTCAGCATTTGAGCTCCAGTTCAGATCTAGCAATTCAGAGCTTGGCTTTGTGTTGGCATTTTCAATAGTAATTGGTTGTTCTATTGGGGGTGGATTAAGAAAATCAGCATTCAATAGATCAGCTACTTCAGCTATATGAGATTCTTCATTACTGAAAAAATTAAACATTTACATTACATAATGTTTATATAGCATATTACATTTTTGATACTGTGATAAAATAAAACTCCACTAGGAAACTAAGTTCCTGTAGCTGGCTGTATACCATATATCACAAAAAATTTATTTAAAATCCTTTATAAAAGGTATATAATAAAATGCTCAAACGGGCTATCACAAAGATATTGCAAAACATTTTCGGATTATTAAATCCATCATCAGTGCAAACGAGGTATACATGCTATGAGCCACCAAAATATATGGGTCCAAACCCTTTAAATGATATAAATTTACATTTGATTTACATTATATGTGGTTACAAATTATGATGTTTAGGTTACCGTTGGAATTGGAACCTAAACATCATAATTTGTAACCACATATAATGTAAATCAAATGTAAATTTATATCATTTAAAGGGTTTGGACCCATATATTTTGGTGGCTCATAGCATGTATACCTCGTTTGCACTGATGATGGATTTAATAATCCGAAAATGTTTTGCAATATCTTTGTGATAGCCCGTTTGGGCATTTTATTATATACTTTTTATAAAGGATTTTAGATAAATTTTTTACAAAATAAAACCTCATTTACTAAAAAACATTAATTTTTATTAATATTTCAACTTTCATTGAAAGGGGCCAAATATAATTACCCATGGGGTGTTAGAGCAGTACCATTATGATTGATTTATCCTCATCACATTAAGAGAATATTAATGCAGCAGATAAACATCATGATGAAAGTATGAATAACAAGAAAAACTAAAATACTTACTTCACATCTTTACTTTCCTCTTCATCTTTTTTCTGACTTTTGGGCGGATCATCAGAATAGTCAGAATTAAAGAAAGTCTTTTTAGATTTGTCTGTATCAAAGGGACTAAACAACTCCATAATGGTTGTATTATCAGTTGGTTTAATTGTATCCAATTTGCCTGCAGCTGTACCTAAAGTTTCAGAAGACTTTGTGGAAAAATTCAAAATTGCACTTTGGTATGGTACTAAGCTATGGGAAAACATATTGCATCTTGCTGCAGCTAATAAATCAACTTTCTGTAAACAAGCTAAAGTCAATCTATCAAATTTTGTTTTGGTTTTCTTAACATAAGACTGGGCTTTTCTAAATTTTTCAAGACCATGTCCAGTATCAGGATCTAATTCGGATGACACTGACTTCATCCAACTCAGAGCTGCTCTGTACTCTGTCCTTGTTTTTTCCATTTCTGATATTGTGGCTCTTGTATCAGTTATAGCTCTATTACGGAATGTTTCCAATTCATGGTGCAACCTTACTAAAGATGGTCTAATAGTTAATCTTTGGTGTCCTGTGTAAGCCAATGCTTTTCCAGCAATTGACATAATTTGTCCTGCAGATGTGTTTTTTTCATTTTTTCCACAGTCTCTTAAATACCTACAAACCATTAAAGCATTGAACATTTTTAAATTTAAGTGTAGATGTCCAACTAAGCCAACTAAGATGGTTTATTGCTTTTATAGTGGCCAAAAAAATGTCTAATTTGAATCTCTAAAACTATTTTCTTTGAATTAAAAAAAAAGTATCAACTTGGTGTGCAAAGTCAATACATATAAAATTTTGTATTGGATGATACATTGCTAATTTATTTAAAGTATAGTACAAGAACATTTGAACAAGAACTAGATTTTATAAATGATGAAAAACTATTATAGTAAAAATCAGATAGGTCTATATTTTGTTCAATAGTCTGATATTTCCTATATTCAAATTTTGTTTGCATTTATTATACTTTTCTAGATAATTGTACTCATTTATAATTTTTAACATGTTTATTCCACACTTGTTTATGCAGTTTATTTTACTCATTAGACAGTAATATAAATACTTTTCACATCTGTTTAGGATTTTTTCTTCTATATTTCTCCAGACATGTCAATAGGTAAATATAAAAGTTTAGAACAATGAAAATAACAATTAATACCATATATTAATTATTGAAAGGACATGAAGTGCAAAATATTTTTTTGGTAACTAGAAAGACATGTATTATTAATTCCAATGATAAGTGAAATCGTTATAGAAACATACTTTAAATGATAGTGCCAATATAACATGTTTTTGTTTTTCTTTTAGTTATAATTAGTTAATTAAAACAAAATCAAATGAGTGCAAGCATACCAGATTTTATATTGTTATTCCAAATGCACATTTTTACCTGCCAAGAACATTCTCCTCTTGTGCCAAATAACATAATCGTTCTTGATATAAGTCAATAACGCGTTGTAATTGAGCACAACTATCGTTAATTGATTTAAATAATTCCAATTTGGCGTCCAACTCTGCATCAGAAGAAACAATACACTCATCTTCCTTTCCACCTAATTTTCTGAGCACGCTTTTCTTGGTAACCCAATATTGATGCTGCATTTTAATAAATTTGCTTTAAACGGGTTTCTGGCATTGATCTTTTAATAAATTTTATCTTCCGGATGTTTCATTTCAGTTACAACTTTAACATTTTTGTTTATCTCTACAACACAACGTCACTCTGTTAAAGTCAAATGTCAAATGTTACGTCAAAGTTATTTTGCGGCAAATATTAATATAGCCGACAGTTTTAAATGTAAATTGGACGGCAAAAATTAAAATATTCATAACATTAAACCAACGGAAACTATACTTTCTCAGCTTTCTGTTAATCATATTAATCTACTCGTTAGACCACACATTAGTTGTATTTCTGTACTTAAATCTGTATTATAAGATCTATTGCAGATAACTTTAATATAATTGTCATATTAAAATGTGACTTGAATGTATTGTTAATTTTACATGAGATATCCTAACCGCAAGTATAGTAGTCGTAAATTTTAGTTTATATTTCTTGGCGTAGTTTATTATTTACACTGGTCACTTCAGTGTAAATCTTTTGTACTCTTAACTATTTCTTATTAAAATGTTTTTTACGTAGATCCTTCTATAATTTATTTCAATAATCCAATCAAATACTTAATTTTAAAAGTATTTAATTATCTCATCTTTAAATCTTATAGGATCATAAATTATCTCACCACCCATAAGTTAAAACACAAATCCGTTTTTATGTTCTGAATGGGTTTTGAAACTGTTTTTCGTGATATGTTTAAGATAAATACTGTATTTATATGGTATTAAACCACACTTGGTTGTAATACAATTTGAAAACTCTTTGAATTAAAAACTATTTCCGGAATCGATATCGAACGCCGAAAACAAACGGAAAATGAAATTTTTATTGTATTCAATTATGGTTCGTACTGACCGGAGGGACCTCAGACCTTCGGATACAATTAGCGTCTCTTAGCAAAGACAATGACGTCGACTTTGCTAAGTATCAAGATAATTATTCTACACACACACACACACACACACACACACACACACACACACACACACACACACACACACACACACACACACACACACACACACACACACACACACACACACACTACACTAGGTACCTGACTGTACCATGCCAATGATCTTAGTTGTCGAGGCATTAACTCAATAATATAAAAAAATTATGGTTCAATCCCATATCTAATTGGATTGCGGTGCCAGACTCTAGTTTGTGATATGAGTGTATTTGGCGATGTTATTACAGTTCTTACGTGGGGAATTTTTTTTTTTGAGTTTAATGCGTCGACAACTAATGGTCATTGGCATGGTACAGTGAATGTTTACAGTCAGGTACCTAGTGTAGTGTGTAGTGTGTGTGTAGAGTAATTGTCTTGTTACTTAGCAAAGTCGACGTCATTGTCTTTGCTAAGAGACGCTAATTGTATCCGAACGTCTGCGGTCCCTCTGGTGTGTACCGACGTGGGGAATTTGTTTTGCTATTATTTCTCTCTTTGTTAATATATTCTATTGTTTAGTCTTGACCTGATAAAGAGTATTTTTTAGAGATATAGAAATGAATGTTGGCAAAACTTTTTTAACTGTCGGCATTTTAACAGTTGTAAAGTTAAAGTAGAGTCCGTGTATGGCCTGACGCCTGAACAACGCGTCCAAATTGTGCAAATTTATTTTGAAAATCATGATTCTGTTCGAAATATCGCGCAATACGGCCATTTTATGATCAACGTAATCGTCCATCAGGCTCATTAATTCCATTAACCATGCATGTTTTCACATCAAGTTTAGGTACTCTAAATGATATACGTATCCACAGCAATGTCGTACAGTGCGTACAGAAGAAGTTGTTGCTGATGTAGAGCGTAGCATAGAGGATGATCCTAATCAGACTATCCGCCATAGTACATAGCAGTTGGATATGTGTTCATCCACTTTATGGAAGATTTTGTGGAAAGATCTTGGTTTGCGTGCTTAGAAAATCCAACTCATGTAAGAATTGAAGCTACACGATCATCTAGCAAGGCGTAGATTTTGTAAATGGGCCCAAAACGAGATTGCCGTTGATTCTAATTTTCATAAATGAATTTTGTTTAGCGAACTTTTGGTTGAACGGCTATTTCAACAAACAAAACTGACGTATTTGGAGTGGAGATAATCATCAAGTGGATGTTGAGACACCATTACATCTAGAAAAACTGAGTGGTGTGATTTATGGTATGCTGGAATCATTGGTTAGTACTTCTTCAAAACCTATGCTGTCCAGAACGTTACAGGCAATGGTGACTGCTATGGAGCCATGATTACTGACTTCTTCATTCCTCAATTGAACAACCATGATGCCCAGGACAAATATTTTTAAACAAGAATTACTATTTTTGATTTCTTATCATCTTGTCTAGAGACTATTAAGAAAACCTTTCGTTTCATCTCTCAGTTTTTTCTGATGGTCCTTTTTTCCTTGCTAAGATAGTCTTCAAATGTTTCTGTCCTATATCCGGGGCTTTGATATCAGTTCTATTAGTGTGTTTTTGTTGTGTGTTTTAGGTTGCCAGCCTCACCTTCGAATCCTCTGCTTTATCCGGACCTGGGACTAAATGCCCATCTGTTATGCTATTCATGGGAGCCGACAGCGGAGTGTAATTGCATCCCCTGCAACGAAAGAAAGTACATAGCTATGCATACATAGTAATATATTTTTAATTGGTTAATAGTATGTGTAAATGCAAGTGCACCCCTGAATAGCAGATGCACCCCACTGAAAATAATCCTGGCGCCCATGGCTACCATCTACCTAACAGCAGCTTAAGTAAACATGTGGTAGCATGTAATTTAAAAGGTAAAAAACTATTTACCTTAAATATTTAAATATATAATTTTTTTTATTATATTGTAATATATCACACACGTGTTCATCATCATAATTATAAATTTAAATATACTTATTGTATTATATAGAATTAAATAAAGCTGTATGTTTTACAATTCTTTTACTGAAGCACCTGTGATCCATTTTCGTCAAATAATTCGGCAGTATTGTTTATTCCATTATATTTATTATTTACTAAGTCGCGATATAACGTCCTGCACCTAAAAAGTAAAAGAACTTAGAAAAAAAAAGTTAAAAGTTAATATATACGTTATATATGTTAATATAAACCTCTATGGTTATTACACATGAATGACATCTTCGTATTACAATTCTGTATTGGATCTTTTTAGTGTTAAAGGTTGGCACTACTTGTGCATTACAAGTGCGTCAACGAGTCAACAAGTAGGTCATGTGGTAACCAGGCATTATTATTATAATAAAAACGTTTATATTTTTCAATGTATTCTTTGTAATATTCTATCTAATCCCGCAGCTCTAGAATACCAACTAAAAATTAACGTCAAAATAATATACTTTTTCCCATTAAAATTTTATTAAAAAAATATATTTTAGATCAGGTATATAATTTATTAAAAAGAAAGGATTATTATGCAAGGTGGTTAGAGTTAACCACTCACATCTCACACCGTAAGCCTATCTACCTCAAGAATTCATTGATGAAACCTTCAAATTACCAAAACATGAGTTTTTTTTAGATCCGTTAGCTCAAAGAAGTCATCCACAATGAAATTTTACTTTTTTTTAAAGGTTTCTTTTTAGAATTTCTAAAGGCAGCTTTACATCTAGGCTATGCAAGTCTCATGCTATGCAAGTCCGTCTTGCATTGCACATCTTTTGCCTAGCTTGACCTTTTTACATCAGAGATATTTCTGTGCAATTTTAGATCCCACTTTCATTGTTGCCAACAGAGAAAATATGTATCAATTTGAGGTTATTTTATTTTAAATAAATATAATTAAGTACTAAAATAAATAATATAATAAATAAATATACACTATTTATGGTTATTAAAAGGGTGAAGGATGTCAACAAAAAAAAGAAAACATTGTTATTGTTGAATATTGCTGTTGTAGCAACAATCATGAAAAATAATAAAAAAAGAAAACCTAGAAAATGCTGGGTCAAACCTTGGTTGAATGCAGGACTGGGAAATTTGAAGTTACCCCAAGAGTTCTGCTAGAGACCTTCAAAGTTTTAAAAACTTTCTTCGAATGAACGAGTCCACTTTCCTTAAGCTCCTGGATAGAGATAAGGTTATGTTTTATTCTGTAATCTATTATAAATTGTTATGTTGGCCACATGAATTTTAACGATAAATTGCAAGAAAATAGCATGAAAAATAGAACATGTTCTAATTTTTCGTCTAGCACAGGAATTGCATGGAAATAGCCCGTGGGCATGCGCAGTTCCATGATCTGTCTTGCATGGCTCTTGCCTAGCATGAAAATAGCATAATGTAAAACTGCCTTTAATACAATTTTATATAAAATTTGTTTAAATAATTAAAAAACCGCTGGAATTGGAACTGGGATTAGGTGAAACAAAAATACTTCGTACTAGACTTACAAATACTTACTAGACGCAACAGTTATTTCTAAACGTTCTTCTTGCGGAATAGAGTTTCCAATGTTGTATTTTGTTTTTGGAAATGTTTTTACAATAGATATGAATTCTTGATATTTTTCGTAACTCATTCTGAAGTGTTAATAAAATTTGTCTTGAAATCAATTAAATTGGAAATAAAGTAACAAATTCAATATCCGTGTTTCGGTTTTTACAAACTTCATGCATCCATTTATTGCGCTTCCTTTCTGGAAGTTTATTTTTTTGATCCCCCTCCTCGTATAATAAACCAACAATAATAATTTTTGGATCCATTTTCCATGAAATAATATGTAAATCCATTGATTGAGCTGATGTGATTTTGCCGCGTTACGGCATTTAATTCCGAGCTGTAGCGGTGCGTTCTGTTGCCGAGCGGTTCAGTAAAGTTAGCGCGTACCTTTACTCCACTTATTACAACATGATGTAATCACATTGTAATGGTGACTCTCGTAAACTAGATAAATTAAAATAAAGTTTTACTTAAATAGTTCTTACCAATTTAAATTTAGGAGATTCAAACCTACTTCGTTGATAGGCACCCATCTTAGATTCGGGAGATATTACATGGAGATGTAGATGATTTACGCTTGTATATGGTGGACAATGAAAACCTATTCTAGCATCATTACAGTCTCCTCCATTAAGTTCAAGAATGTATCTGCTGAGTACGAACATTTCTTCCACTAAAAGAATATTTAAATCGTCAGTGCTGATTGAAAATCGGGACATTCCGACATCACAGACGTTAATTCTTGCAGTTTTATTTGCTCATCTTTAACATATGTAACTAACAAGATAAAAGCGGATGGCGTTAGTCAATAGTTGAGAGTAATTATCGAATTTTGAATTCGACAGTTTGTCAAAATGTAAAATAGCTTTATCAGCCTATAAACTTTATATGTATGCAATACGTATGTAATTTATGGTGCCAAATGATTTGGGATCAGTCCCAGTACAAAAATTCAAATATATTGCTTAGGTCGTCGCTTCTAAAGTCCTACATGAAGACGTATATCTGTATACACTTAATAATATATACAAAGCAGATATCCATGGTCAAAATTTGGATATGGCAATGGACCCTATTATTATACGAGTGATAATGTCGTGTTCGCAGCAGCGCGTTAACGTCGACTCAACCGGACAATGGTAATAAAAAAAATATACCATGGAGTAAATTATACGAGCGACATTGCCGTCGGTGAGTCCGCGTTATCCCGATGCCAGTTTACGCGTGGCACAGAGCGCGCTTTAAGTTATACGTAGCGCTGACAACGAAGTCAAAGTGATCTCAACGCAACGCAACTAGAGTCACAGATAAATTCCCCAAATTGTGTTTTAAAAGTTGCCATATTTTGAACAGAATTCCCCAGATTTATATATTTCAGTTTTTAACAAATCCTACATGTATGCAACCCGTCTTGCGCTGTGTGTTACTTGCCATGTAGGTTACCGACATTATATCCAACCATAGGAGTCTTCAACGCTTCTTGTTTGTTTCGAGCTTTTGTCTTATAGCGTATATTAATATTATACACGGATTATATGACATATGACAGAAGCTTGAAACAAATGAAAAGCGTTGTAAAGTCTTATTAGTGACACTGACAGGCATAGTAATTGTTTTTGATATTATTGACAGTATGACAGTTATTATATAGAATTACAGAAAATGACAATGTTTCTTGTAAGTCGGGGAACTCCGGATCTACACAGGTAGTTCGTAAAAACACGACAGTGTCAGGGAACCTCAAGCAATATCATTGTTCGCGGTAGCGCCAATTCACCAAACTGTATTAAGTGTCGCCTATATGTGGAATCAGTCACCGCGATCTTATCTTGTCGTTATAGTACATTTAATATTCACATAGTTTACTAGACTTTCAAAATAACTATTTTTTACTAAATTTAATAACATATTTTAGCCAGTTTGATTTCCCCAGATATTAGTCATTTTAAAAAAGTTTTTCCGCAGTCCCCAAAGTTTCTCAATTTTCCCCAGTTCTGAGGAAAAATCCCCGGACCTGGAATCCCTGCAGGGCGCATAAAGGTCGATTCAGACACATCAGTCCCGTCACAGTCTCGGCGCCGAACCGGTCCTGTTTGGTCACAGAACTATCAACTATCTGACAGCTGGCAAACTGTTCGTCAACTGATGAATGTGAATGCTGGCGCCATATTTCTATTAAAGAATATTTTGTATGACCGATTGTTCGGTTCGGCGCCAGGACTGTGACGAGACGTGACTGATGTGTCTGAATCGACCTTAAGTTATTCGTGACTGTAGATAGTTGCGTCCCGTTGAGATCACAGACCACTAATAACTGATCTGTTTGTGGTTGAGATCACTTTGTCCGCGTTTTCATGCTACGTATAACTTGATGCGCGTGATCTGCGCCCTACAATGGACTGATAGGGCTAATAAATACTAATAATGCTTGCCTTCGCGATAACGCGGATTCGCCGACGGCAATGTCGTTCGTATAATTTACTAATTATTGATTTGGAACAATGATTACGATTTTTACAAAATTTACACTACCAAGACAATTATTTTGACATATTAGACACATTGTTGACAAAATACAAGTTTAGTAAACGTTTGACTATTTTTATACATCTTATCACACTTTTTAACAAATTCACACACTTCTTTACAAGTTTTATACTAATTTACACAATTAAATAAAACCATTTTGCACATTTAACGCAATTTGCACATTTCATGGCAATTTTTAGACAATTTGATACGTTTTACACACTTTGTAAAGTATTTACTTTACTTTTAACAAAATTTTTAGATCTAGGGAAGGTCTTTTCATTATTATGTAAATCTTGTAGGGCATTTTTGATATCTGAGTGCCTTTTCTATCAGCATCAGTTCCAATAGATACGATTTGGCCAACACAGTACCGATGTATCCAAAGTATAGTAAAGTTAAAGTCAATTTCCGCTATAACTGGAAGTGGTAGGTAGCTCTAAATGTTTTAGATTAAGTGGGCATATCCAAAATAAAATTATATAAAAAATATTTAACATCGCCTAGAGAAAATAAATTCTAATAATTTTTATGCCGGATTAAATGTTAAGATCCCAATGCACCGCCTATGACAATTATAACGTTGGTTTTATAGTCATCCATAGTTATGACTTATGACGTTATGAGTTACATAGAACCGCTATTGGTGGCTATTGTGATAGATAATTATTAGAATTATTTTTAGATAAAAAGTTTATGTGACTTACCAAAATCTTTATCCTTAGGTTTCAAATAATGAATATTACGTATATGTTTCTTAGGCACGACTTGCAAATGATATTTAGAAGCTGGTTTTATATCCTTGAAAATAATGATCTCGTTACTTTCAAATAATATGGTCGCTTCTGCTTTTCCGGAAATAATTTCACAAAATACACAATCTGCCATTGCAGCAGCAAATACATAATAGATAAGATTAAACTTGGGAAAAGTTTAATAAAGATTAAATAATCTATATAAGTACACGCCTGTTATCAAAATAATAATGTATATGCATTGCGATTCGTAGATTACCTACATACTATGATTAGCACAGCATATACCTACCTTATATGGTATACTATGCTGTGATTAATTATTATTAGACATTTTTATCTTAATCATAGATGCTACGATTCAAGCGTGATATGATATTGTAACCTGTTGGTTTCGCTTTATAATTACTACTAGATTTTCCATTGTGTTTTACAGTTTCAATGACCACTATCAACCGAACATTGATAAGCGGTTACATATCATATAATGTTCATTTAAAATTAAGTACCTATTACAATATTTAGTCCAGTTGGATGTTGCGTATAATGAAACTGCAGAAAACTCGTGTAATTATTATCGAAAATTAATAGTGGCTTTAAAATTTCCAAGTAAAATGTTGGAAAAAAATAATAATTTAAAATAGGAAAAATCCAAACGTTACCTACACTTCATCTAATTTACATACTGATGCACGTCATCGGCGTCATAGCCCGTGACGTCACATTTTATTATATACGCGTAGAAATAATATTTAAAAATTTATATTAATCTTAACTTAAAGAAATACACAATAATATTTGATGGATTCGACCGTTACTTGATGGAAATTCATTTTATGTAACAATAAAACACTGAAAACTTTGTTTTCAAACTTCCACAAAATTTATTTTAAATCTTATCACTACAGCTGTTTCGGCTGATTGCCTTTCTCAAGTGATCTATTTTTGTCTTGGGTTTACAAATTTATAGTCTCTAATGAAATAGGTTGAGGAGGGGAGAACTGTTTGTCTCAAGTTGGTCATTCAGAATTATATCTGTGTTTTTTAATTTGTTGATTTCCATAGATTCTAACAAAGATAGCTTAAGGCCTTTATTTTGAATGTGAAGAATTTTAAATTTGTCATTAAAAGAATGATTATGATCTAGAAGGTGAAGTGCGTATGTCGAATCTGTTTTTCTATTCTTGAAAGCCCTTTTATGTTCTGCTATTTGTTTATCAAAGTTTCTACCAGTTTGAGCGATGTAAGTTTTTGGGCAGTCGCCACATTGAAGTTTGTACACACCACTATTTAAGTGTTTTTTATTTTGGCTCTTGTTATTTTTAATATATTTGCCTAGGTTGTTATTTGTTCGGAAAGCTGGTGTTATTCCTTTCTTTTTTATGTGTTTGGCAATTTTTGTTGTTATTTTGCCTGTATATGTAATTAAGCAGAATGTACTGGGTTTTTTCTCTGGTGGTGGAAATACTAATTTCAGGGATTTCTTGTGTAGGTGTTGATTTAACATTTTATTAATTGTTTGTTCTTTGTATCCGTTGTTTACTGCTATTTGCTTAATTATATTTAATTCTGTCTCAAAGTTGTATTTTGACATCGGAATTTCTGTTAATCCATGTAACATACTATGATAAGCAGCCAGTTTATGTTGTGTTGGATGGGATGATGAATTGTGTATAGTTGTGTCAGTATGGGTAGGTTTATGAAATATGGAGAAGTCATGTTTGTTTTGAAGTCTGCTAATTTTTAAATCTAAAAAATTTAATTAAACTTTATTAAACTACACACTTTATTAAACTGGACGGACAGGGTCAGAAATGAGGAAGTACTCAGAAGAGCGGGCTTACAGGATAGGGAACTTTTTAATTATGTGAAAAGTAAGAAGACTGCATACTTGGGGCACATTATACGAGGAGAACGATACACTTTTCAGCAACTGATACTCGAAGGGAAGATAGAGGGTAGGAGAGGTCTCGGACGTAAAAAAATGTCATGGCTGCGCAATATTCGACAATGGACAGGAATCCACAGCTATGAAATGCTTCGCAATGCTGCTAAAAACAGAATTATTTAAACCAGAATATTTAACATCTCACCTGACAAGACGATGTACGGTGGACGCCTACGCAGAAATGCACGGCACCTTAAGAAGAAGAAGAAGAAACTACACAAACCAGATCACCCAATAAGACCTGTAGTTTCTTTGGATGTTGAATTCCCTAGATTTCTCGATTATCTGTCTTATATTCAGCAGGTGTTCTCGAGTACCTCTACCTTTGGTAAATCCAGTTTGCTCTTGTGGAATTTCTCTTTGAAGGAATGTTTTCAGTCTCTCATTGATTATATGTAGCATTATTTTGCTGGCAAGGGATATAAGAGAGATAGTTCTATATGGTCGTATCTATGGTCGTTATTGTGGATTTTGTCCAGTCTTCAGGCCATTGTTTATATTCCATATATTCCATGAAAATGATAATTCCTCCTTAAATAAATTAAATCTCCTAGAAAACATAAAACAGCTGGTTCTGAATGAACATATGTATAAGACCATGCAGAACACTATACTACTCTTTAATATTAATACCATAGGTTTATGGGATAAGAATTTCCCTTAGACAGAGTACAAGCTATATGGTTTAAATTTGGAAATAAAAAATTTAATAGATACAAATAAATAAATAACCATTTATTTATTGATTTAATATTCATACATACATATAACAAAATATCACAAAGACATTAAATTCTATTAAAATAAAAATAATTTACACAAAATTCTGATTTTATCTTGACTTCTAGTGCATCTTTACATTTTTACATTATTACATTCTAAATTAAACTATAAAATATTAAAAATTGTGCCTAAAGTTGTCCAAATTACCTAATCACCCAAATTTTCTTATATAAGTATAGATAATAGATTATTATTAATTCCACTATAGCTTGCTCAACCTCAGTAAAGTATCATCAACCTAAAAATACATGTGATATTATTTTATATACACAAAATATATTAAATAATTTTAATGTTTATTATTCCATTGCACAAAACTCAGAGAGGTACAACAAATAATAGTCACATTCTGCCAGCAAAGCAAAACTGATTTAGAAATTCAGAAGGCAATAGTGCAGTGGCATCAATGAAATAACATAATTTTTTCTACTAATCACAGAGGAATTATTTCCTACCTAAAAGGTACCTATTAAGACATAAACCATGATTAGATTTCATACCTACATTCTTCTTCTTCCACAGCTTTTCCCCTTTTTCAGGGGTCTCTGTTCCTTACTCTTCATTGAAACTCATTTATGTCCATTGGTCTTCTTTGCCTAAACTGTTCCCTTTCAACTCTTCTGCCACACAGTCCTTCCATCTTCTCCTAGCTTTTCCTCTACCTCTTCTTCCATCAATATCTAACAGCTCTATCTAACGTCCCACATATATACATACATTCACACAGTAGTAATAAAAGAAAATATGTTGAAATAAAGTTCACTTACAGATTGAAACCACCATGTATTTGGCCTAAACACCTGTCTTTTAATGAATCCCATTTCAGATACTGGGGAGATCACATGCAAATGTAAATGGTTTATGGAATTAAAAGGTGGACAATGGAATCCTAATCTTGCATCGTCTATATCACCATTGTGTTCTGCTAAAATCTTCTTACCAATTTCCACCATCCTTTCAACTAAAAACATAGTTATTGGCCATTAGGTATAACAATCTTATTTAAAATGAACAATTTTTTTAAAAAAGTTACAAGAATTTATAAAATTACTTTAACAACCTACCTAAAAGCTTGTCCTCATTTGTTTGTAAACTATTTACATTTAGAATATGTTTTTTAGGTACAACTAGGAAGTGATGTTTAGATTCTGGTTTAATATCTCTAAATACAATTAACTCTTCATTTTGGAACAATATATCCGCCGGAGCATTTCCTGCTACGATTTTGCAAAAAATGCAATTAGGATCTGTTGACATTGTTAATAAAAAATAACAAAATGTTATATAAAAATAAATGTTTGCAGATTTTAAGGAACACACAAGCTGTTTAAATTTATAATAGAAATTAAAACTTAAAAACACAATTACGATAATCAAAAATCAAATGAACTTGAGCAGCTTTTGTACAATAATATTTGATAATATCAAATATTTAAATATAATAGACCTTTGACCATTCTTGCTTTTCGCCAATAATGAGAGGTTATGTTCTTCTTCTTATCTTCGTAATAAATAATATACATAATAAAGCTTATTAGCGTCTAGACCCTGACCCACTATTATGTGCATACTTGCGTAGTTCATTTGTAACCATTGCCGAATGTGTCAATGAGGCTTATGTGTAATGTTGGTTGCGAACATTTTTTTTTATAAATTAATAATATAATTTATAATGGTACTTCAATCCATCTATTTAACCCGTTATGTTATTTTTGTTCCGCTGTACAAGGCTCTATAGCTAGGAATACAATATCTTAATTTCTTTAACCTAATTATTAATGGGTTCATAGTGATAAAGAAAAATCAGAAATTATTTCAAAAATATCAGTTAATATACTTATTCATGAATATTGTAACCAGTATGAAAAATAAACACCTACAGTAAAATCAGCAATAATAATTATTAAGTATATCTTTATCTAATACTCGTGCTTTAAATTAAAATGCTTCTAGAGCATTTAAAAACAACAAAAAATATTCATATTCAAAACGGCACCGAAAATGTTGTCTTGTTGCAAGTAAAATATTATATTTTGATATAACTTTAACTTACAACTGTCTTATTTTTTATTACTTGTGGCTTATATAAATAAACTATATACCTACCTAAATATAATATTTAATTCTCATATTCATCGACGAAAATGAATAGCTGATATTTGAAGAAATAAACAAATTTTCTTAACTTAAAACTACGAAATTTATCTAAAAAACTTATTAACAATATATTGATTCATGTTTTAAATTAATATGCAATTTTTAAATAACTCCATGTTTTAGTTCATTTGTACTGAAGTGATTAATTCCATATTAATCCCCTAAAAACGTGCCAGCACTGATCAGTTGTCAAGATCAGCTTTTGATATGTCACTGTCACTTTCAGTAAAATTCATCAATTTTATTTTAACATTCCTGTTTTTAGATTTATTTATTTGTTTATAAAGTGAATATACAATGACATGTTAAAAACAAAAATAGTGTTAGTCTTCTCAGTTGTTTAAAGTGTTAATCATGGTGTCTATTATCAAGAACCAGTTGTTAAAACATCTATCCAGGTATTTTTTGTTCATATAGATTTTTCAATAGTTCTGTATTTGCATATTACAATATAATACAATGTATTCAGAATGATATAGTTAAGTAAGTTTATTATTTAATAATCAATTGTGTTCAAGGTGTGACCCACCAATTTTTGTACTGACCTACCCTCAACTGTTGATTCTCCCTTAATGTCATTAAATCAAGGACATTATATTCCAAGGGGAATTAACTTAATGGTTTATTGATATTATGTATCTAAAACGGTTTGCGGGTATCAGAAGAAAAGTAGTATTGTGTATTGATTTGTTTTTATTGTATATTTGAACACCTCCTTCACATGCCTTGCTCATGTGATAAAAGTAAAGTATTTGTTTTATGATGGTTTTGCCATCTTCTAAAGCAAAATTGAAAAATGTGTATAAGAAAAAAGTAAGAATATGTACAAAAATATTATTTGCTAATATACCTACATATGATAACTAATACAAATAAAGTATCAAAATAATAACATAAAGTACTCAATTACAAAATTATATTTTGGGAAAAATATTTTCCCAAAATATAACTTTTTTACATCTATTTTTTCGAGTGCATTTTATTGTTTTGGTCTGATTCTTGGAACCTTAAGCTCCTTACATTATCTAAATCTCTTTTTTTTATTTTGAAATCAAAGCTTTCTTATATCTAAACTGTGAATTAAAAGAAAAATATACCTAATTGTGATGTGCCTTTATTCTAATTGGAGCATTACAAACTAATTCATAATACAAATTTTAAAATATTAGGATTTATAACTATTAAACACTGCTACTACAGAAGCAGACTCATATTTTGGATTACCAGAAATATACAATAATTTTCTAGCTTTCCTTACTTGACAGTTTAAAAAATAGTAATGACTGGAGGGTTGACTTTCATTACATGCTAGCTATATATAACTAAAAATTGACATTTGATGAATAACTAAATTACTTTTCCAACACCAAACATATCTAAAAGTTCTTTATTTTTGATTATAACTTTCTTTCACAGGTTCACCAAGAATCTGTCAGCTGACAAGATTAACCTAAGCACATTCAAAGGTGAAGGTGAACTCTCTAACCTAGAACTCAATGAAGTGGTTCTTATGGACCTACTGGAATTGCCATCATGGCTATGTTTAAAACAAGCTTGGTGCAACAAAGTTACCTTCAGGATACCATGGACAAAACTTAAAAGTGTCCCTATATGTTTGGTAAGTGAGAACAATTATTTTTCAGTGTTATGTAGTAGATTTAGCATTTTATATTATTCATTTGTAATCCAATTAATATACATTTTTATAATAAATCATTTACAATAATAAGTATCTCTTATAATAATCACTACATGATGAAGCTTATGAGATTTAAGTGTTGTGAATTGAATAACAATATTAATAATCACAAAAGTAGTTAAGTTTTATTATTTATACTTTAATTTTTCTCCCACCATTCTAATTTTGCTGTGCAATTTTTTTAGTAAGATTTTATTGGTGATCTCAAAATCCAGTACTTTTGATAATTTTTTGTAATTCTTTTTTCTCTTTCCTGTTTTTCATGGCAGTTTTCCATCACTCCAACTCCTATACATGTAAATTCTTTAATTTTTTCTTATTTATTCTTCCTTCATAGGTATATGAGCCCTAACAACTATATAATGGGACAAACTAAAAGACAAGCAAAATTCAGATAGTCCCCAGTTTATTTTTTAATCATGTTTCTAATGTATTACTATGTAGTTACTTAATTACTAAAAATATAAGTTTGATCAGCAACACAAAACAAAATATACTTACTCTAACAGAACTAATTAATAATAAAGAATGTTCATTTTGTTGGCAACTAAATATTGGATTTCCGAAGAATATTTATTTCTAAAACAAAGTAGCATTGCTCTTAGTCTTTATGGCCACTAGAATTGAGTTGAGCATTTCCTTGATTAAGGATCTGCACTGTTCAGAGATAAATTCAGTGCAAATCTGCTCTATTTTGGCTTTAAGTTCATGTAATGTCTGTTGTGGATGATTTTTTTTTTGTCAGTTTCATTTTATGCCATACTGTTTCAATGACATTTAGGTCAGGGCTGTTAGAAGGCCAAGAAACTACATTTTATTGTCCTTCAATGACATTTATTGTGGTTTCCAGTGAGGACAGTCTTCAGCACAATGGCAACAAATAGAGTAGTAAAGACGGCTCCCCAATAGGAAGACAATCAGAAGGAAGACCACGAAAACGATGGAACGACAACTTACTGGAGGCACATTAAAAACAGAGTCATATCTGTATAAAAAGAAGAAGAAAAATCATTTATCTTAGCTTTTTTCGTCGCCAGGATAAATTTATTTTTTCTCAGTGACATTTCCTAGTTTGTTCTTTCTGAAGTTTTCCTTATGTCTTTATTTCCCATAATTGGCTTTTTATGTTTTGATTTATTTTACTCAAATCGGTTTCAAATTTGCTGTTTGTATTTTATTTTTTGAGTGATTATGAGAGAATCCTAGATATGGGAATATAATATACAGGGTGTCCTAATGGATATTTGCTTTACAACATAGTTATTAATCACCCTGTAGAGTTCAACATATTATCCAAGCCTGGAGAATATGATTACCTGCATTTTTTCTAAATAACTTTTTTGGATATTCTGTACCATAATGGTATTATCTAAAAACTCACTATTAGTTTCTTCAATTTTCTAAATTTTAAACTTCTTTCTTCCATTTCCATTTCTCCAATAATCGGTATACTGCTGAAACCAATTTTGATCCCGTTTTCTTTTACGTTTTCTTCATGTGGTCTTTGCCATATTTCTTTGTGCATATTTCTTGCCCTTTTACTCATATCTTGGTTTGTTAGATACCCTTTACTGAATATCTTTGTGATTTACTTATTAAGTCCTATTATTTTTTTTTGTTTTATTCGCCATATTCGTTTTCTAATTGTTATTATGTCTAGGCAGCCACTAACAAAATAGTTATGCAATAGTATACATATTTAAAAGTTGTTATTTGCTTAATTAGTTTTGTTAAAGCAATTTCGATTGCATAATAAACTACATTAAATAATGTTAAGTAGCGTGTTTTAGACGTTCCTGATAAGACTACCTACACATTTTCGTTTATTTATAGTACTTCTATGATAATCTACAGCGACATATTGTACTTTTGGAACTATAAAAGTATATAATTACACGAAATGGGTTAGTTTCCATGGCCTATTCGCACTAATTTGTAAAATTCTTTTTAGTATTACTTGCTAAACTTACTATTTCGTAATAAAATTATACTGTTGTTCGATATTTTTTATATAAATAAAAATAACAGTTAAAAACCACAAATGAAGGTTTTATCCATTTAAAATCTTATATTTTACTAGTATATATTACTGGTTTTTACTCACCAGTTGACGCTACAGCCCTTACTACAGCCCGCTACTCATCAGTTGACGTCCTCAATTACGATAAGCGTCGTCTCTAGGTCTCCATTCCAGAATTTTTTTTGTCCACCTTCCATCTTTTAATCTGGCAACATGCCCCGCCCAGTTCCATTTCTGTTGTAATCCTTTGAATTGCGTCAGTAACATCAGTTTTTCTCCTAACTATCGTATTTGATACTCTGTCTCTGAATTTAGCATTTACCTCTTCATCGCTCTCTGTGTCACTTGTATTTTATTGATTACTTTTCTGGTAAGGGTCAATGTGTCTGCTCCATACGTTAGAACTGGGAGTACACATTGATCAAAGACCTTCCTTTTCAAGCACATGGGAATATCTGATCTAACTTCTCTCAGTTTTCCGTAAGCTGCCCATGCCAGTTCTATTCTTCTGTTTAGCTCCGTTGTTTGATTATCCCTTCCTAATTTAATCTCATGGACCAGATATTTACAGCTATACACCTGTTCAATTTGCGTGCCGTTAGTTGAGATGTTTTTCGCTAGTACAAGGTTGGTCATATATTGTGTTTTGGAAAAATTAATTTTAAGTCCAACTCGTGTACACGAGCTCTGAAGGTCTTGAAAAAGCTGGCAGGCATGATCTACCCGGTCTGCAATAAGGATTATGTCGTCTGCAAATCTCAAGTTGTTCAGAAACTCTCCATTTATGTTGACTCCAATATTCTCCCAATTATTGTTTCTCATAGCACTCCGCAACAAAGCGGTGAATAGCTTAGGAGAGATGGTATCTCCTTGCCTAACACCCCTCTCGAAGGGAAATGTATTTGTGTTGCCATAATACATTCTAACTGCAGCTACATATTATAATATATTCCGAAGAAGAGTTGTGTATCTATGATCAATACTGCACTCTGTAAGAGCTCTTAACATGGAGCTATGCTGGACTGAGTCAAACGCTTTCTCAAAGTCATTAACTAAACAACTTAATCATAATTAAACGCTACAAATATTAATATCAATGGCTTGTTGTATTGTGTAAACTTTATGTATTTTTTATATTACGTGAAGTTTATTTAGCTTTTAAAAATTAGTATTATATGTAGGAATTATAGAAGACTTAAGCATTTTAATTTGGCATGTATGTCAACAAAATTAACTTAGTTGTTATATGAGGTAATATTGACAAAGTTGTTCGACATCCACAAAAGGTAAAAATATTAACGACAGTCTGAAGAAAATTTGTCGGATAATTACCGCCTGATCCCTCACTCGTACAAAAAAAAAAAAAAAATTGTACGCCACTGAAAGACCAAAAATACGTCAGAATGGTCATCACCATGTCCGGGAATTTATTTTATCTACAATTTCGAAACTATATTATATCTTATGTATTTTTTTTTATTGTTTATTAGACAATTCTTCCTTCATGATGCGACTTTATTAATTTTATAATACTCAATTTATATTCATTTATAAACCAACCATATTGACTATATGTATAAATATTTAATAATATAACTGACCTCAATATTTAAAAACAAATCAATTTATTTTTACTGATAAAAATTATCAATGTTCGGAAGAAAAATGAGTTATTTGTGGAAAAATGCTTTTTGAATAAAATTAGATGCCAATTCAAGTTCATCTGTGTTCATGAAATTAACTGTAGAATGTTTGTTATTTTGCATAAAAGATAAACATATGTTATATTAGTTCCTAGTATATATAAATGAATATGCATCATTAACAAAATTAACACACTTTGGATTAGAACATACTCTAGCTATTTTATCTAAAATCTGGCAAATATTAAATGAAACTGTAAATCAAAAATCACGCGCTGTAAGTGGTTAAATGTAGCCGAAATCATGTACTCTTCATGAAGTCTAGGAAATTTTGAATGCAATCATTGGCGGCGCGTATGAAAATGTGTTTCCTTGAGGTTACTTAACATTGTAACAGTAGAATATTATATTTCTGCTTGTAATAATAAAAATAATACATTAGATCTAGTTTATAAAATAAGTTCTCATTCACATGAATAATGTGTAGACTGAGCGGATGTGCGAAAGTCAACTATATACCTAAAGATGTCTTCTTCTTCTTCTTAGCCTGCTGTCGTCCATGTTTGGACATAGGCCTCTCCCAACTCCTTCCATCGGTCTCTATCCTGAGCAACATATTTCCAATTTGTTCCGGCTATTCTTCTAATGTCATCAACCCATCTCATCTGTGGTCTTCCTCTTGGTCGTTTACTTTCGTAAGGTCTCCAATGTTGTATTGTAGTATTCCAACGTTGGTCTTTCTGTCTAGCAGTGTGGCCCGCGAAGCTCCATTTAAGTTTTGCAATTTTTATTGTTATGTCCTCGACTTTTGTTTTGGATCTTACCCAGTCGTTCCTCTTTTTATCTGACAGTCGTATACCTAACATTGCTCTTTCCATTGTTCTTTCTGTTGTGGCTAGTTTATTCATGTTTGCCTTGGTTAGGGTCCAGATTTGACATCCATATGTCATGATAGGAAGGATGCATTGGTTGAACACTTTGCTCCTCAAGTATTGGGTATTTTGCGGTTCTTAAGTATCCAACTAAGTTTTCCAAATCCTGCCCATGCTAGTCTTGCTCTTCTAGTAATTTCCGCACTTTGGTTCTCTTTGTCAAGTCTCAGGATTTGGCCTAGGTAGATATATTCCTGGATTTGTTCTATCTCACTGCCGTTTATAGTTATATGTCTGGGGTCTTCTGTGTTTGTCATTATTTTTGTTTTTTTCATATTCATTTTTAGGCCGACGTATTCGGAGCTGGCTGCTAGTTCCCCCAATATAATTTGCAGTTCCTCGAATGTGCTCGCTATAATCACTATGTCGTCAGCGAATCTGAGGTGGTTTAACTTGTTGCCATTAACGTTAATGCTATAGGTTGACCAATTTGTAGTTTTGAAGACGTTTTCTAGGGCTAGGTTGAAAAGCTTTGGCGATATTACGTCTCCTTGTCTCACTCCTCTCTTAATGGGGATGGGATTTGTATTTTCGTCTAGTTGTACTATCATAGTTGCATTTTCATATATATTATGTATTAGTTGCCTATATCTCGAGTCTATTCTACAATTATTAATAGCTTGTTCTATGGCCCACATCTCGATACTATCAAACGCCTTTTCATAGTCGACGAAGGCAAGAAATACGGGTAGTTTGTATTCATTTGCCTTCTCTATCAATGTTCTCATTGTCAGTAGATGGTCTGATGTACTATATCCTTTGCGGAAGCCAGCCTGTTCAATCGGTTGGTAATTATCCATTTTGTAGGTTAACCGGTTATTAATAATTCTCATAAATAGTTTGTATACTTGACTGAGCAACGATATAGGTCTATAATTCTGTAGATCACATTTGTCCCCTTTTTTGTGTAAGAGTATTACTAGACTCTCGTTCCAGTCTTTAGGGATCTGGCTATTATGGAGACATATATTAAATAGCTCTGTTAGTAGAGGGATTGTTAATGTCTGGCTTGTTTTCAAGAGCTCGGCAATTATACCGTCGTGTTCTGGAGCTTTATTATTTTTTAGTTCTTTTAAAGCTCTTCCTATTTCGTATCCCTTTATATTTGGTAGTACTTCTGATCCCACGTTTTTTATTTTTCTTTTCAAGTTCTCCTTTGTTGTTTCATTAGGCTGGCCTTGCGAGCTGTACAAAGATGTGTAGAAGTCTTCGACAATATTTGTTATTTTATATTTGTCCTTCTCTACTTTATTGTTGGCGTCTTTAATTTTGATGATTTTTTGAACTCCCAGTGCGGGTCTTAGACATTTTAAGCCTTTGTTGTTTTTAATGACTCGCTCTATTAAGTTCTCGTTCCATTTTTGTATGGCGTTTGTTTTGAGCTAGTAGTTGTCTTCTTTCCGTCATTAGCTGTTTGGTTTCATTGCTTATTTTGTCTTCTTTAGTACCTTGTTTTCTTTGCGACCTGTAGTCCTGCTGCGAGAAGGTTTTTATTTAGGTTTTTATTAATCTCGTCAATTTGATCTTGATTATGTGAAGGATCAGATTCGAACTTATCCGCTAAGACCTCTCGAAATTGCTCTTCATTTGTTCCTAGTTTAAAGGCATCTATCCTCGTTGTTTTTTTTAAAATCCTTTTTCTCTCTTCTTTCATGTTAATATTTATTTTTGCTCTGACTATACGATGGTCACTGCCCGTTGTTACGTTGTTTATTGTTGTGACGTCTTCAAATATTCCTTTGTTGTTGTTTGAGAGAAAATAGTCTAAAGACCTAAAGATATAAGATACTTAAATTAGTATATTCTTTTTATTTTAGAAGGATATTCAATTATTTAGTTCAATAGAAAAAGTAATAGATGCTTGTTTTGATCTGTATATCATAATATGTTCTAAAAACATGTCAAAACGTGTTTATTAGGAAGAAGTTATACATCGACAAGAAGTTATATATGAATTGAAAATTCAATCATAGATCATATGTTATTATAGATTCTTAATATTATTCTGAAGCTATTTTCTTGTGGTATTTTAAAGTAATTACTATTTAAATGGGAATAAGCCACAATTAAAGGTTAAAGTACGTTTATTGACGTTTCAATTTCCATTTCGGAAATCGTTCTCAAAATAGAAACAATTTTGATAGTCCGGCAAAAAGTGAAAATTAGGTAATAGTGCGAAACATTTCAAATAATATAACATCCTTTTTAAGGAGATTGCGTGTTATATACAAGGAAAAATTGTTATGTAAGTAATTATTGACATGCAAATGAAATAAAAGTTTTTGTTTTTTATCTTTTAGTTAAATGGTATCTAAAGCGTTATAGTCGGCAGGTAATTTCGTGAGAAAATTTACAGAAACCAAAGCAAGCAAAATACTAGTAAAATGGCAACGCTGTTAGAGTTACCACTACTTTATTGTAGTACATAGTAGTAGAACAGTAGCGTAGATATGTAATTTTAAATTAAATAAAAGTTTTTACTTTTATTTAATTTTATTTACCAAAAAGTTTTATTTTCTATAAAGTTTAAATAAAAAATATCGGTGTTTTTAACTTCTGTGATATATCTTGGGAGTGATAACACTAATCGACTCGACTGAACAGAACTTATTGTAAAATATAATATCTATATAAAACATTGTTAATAATAGTAGTTATTCAGCGAGAATGACAGTTTCAGTTGACATACTCCCCTAAAACATTAATAATTTTTGTCCTATTAACAAGTGTGTTTATACCCTGTTTTCAAAGATATATAAGCAAAATGAGAATATCTACAATTAAAATATAAATAAGGTTTCAACTAACACCTAATAAGTACTTACTATCTACTCTGAATCACTGTTATCACTAGTATCACTCGTATCATCTAAATTTATAGGTAATTTGGTTAATGCTGGTAAATATTTAACATAGTCATTTTCCACTCCGATCACATGTTTTATTTTTATTTCATTTTTCCAGTTGGTTGCTGTAATTTTTGTGACTTCTCTTCTAATTAACTGGAGAACAGTAGACAAAAAATTTTGGAGCAACGTTTCTTCTCATTATATTTCCTTTAAGTTGAGCCCATATTAACTCTATTGGGTTCAATGTACAATAATAAGGAGGGAGTCTAAACACAGTATACCCGTTACTACGAGCACAGTTTTCAACAACATATTCCTTTTCGTACTGTTTACTATGAACAACCTCCAACAATTGCTTTTTAATATAAGACGTCTCAAAATACAAATCTTTCGTGAATAACAATTCCTAAATTTTTAATTTATTCCAATTATTATTTGAAGTTTTTTTCATTAATCTTGAATGATATGATGCGTTGTCCATGATAATCACACTATCTTTAAGTAATTTCGGAAGAAGACATTTTTCAAACCATGATTCAAAAATTGAACTTTCCATATCGTCATGATAATCCAGAGACGCGTTTTTAATTTGTTTTGCAGATATTAATAATGCATCGTCGACCCATCCATTTTCTCCACCGTGGTGTAAAATTATAATCCTCTTTCTTTTATTGGGCGGTACTGAGTTGAAACACTTTTTGTTATTATTTGTCCAACTTTTTTTTTTCACGGTGTCATGAGTATCATACCAGGTCTCATCTGAATAAACAATATTTCGTTTCATTTTTTGATACTCAGTTATCTGTCTAATATAATTGTTTCTTAAAGAAATTATTCTAGTACTTTCCACTAATGTCTGAATTTGCCACAATCCTTTCTCTTCTGTCTAGAAGAAGATGTTTCTCCTATAATTTTGTAGCAGGTTGCTTTGGGCACTCTGGTTAACACATGTTTCTACAATTGCCTCTGATTTAGGCAATTCAGCACACAGTCCTTTATAAACATTTTTAGCATACGTTTGGCAACATCAGAAAGGTATTGAAAATGTCGCTTACGTTTTACTACACGCCGTTGTAAATCTTCCAATCGATTAGAGGGTTCCATTGTCTCTTCAGCTACATAATTATTATCGCACCACGGACGCAATATTTTAAAATTATCAAACGTATAAAAACATAATCACGTAAAAACGTATCAAAAAAAGTAAAAAACGTAAAATATAAAATATTTTCCGTATAAAGAACACTGAAAAAAGTCACTACCAAACTAACTTGCGGTTCACTATTTGAAATTTAAATTTAACTGAACGCTGTAGCAGTTATGATTTTACCAAAAATATTCTTGTCTCCCAAAAATCTGTTGGTCATATCCGCAATTTAAAAATAAAATATTATAAAAATTTGCCTACCCCTAAAGTTTTCCCCGTCCAGTGCCGAAGGTGTCGAAACCTGATCCCTTATTTTATGACTCCGTAAGCTCAGTCAAATACTGATATAGTCTTACCCCAAGTATGAATAAGTCTACCGAAAAAAGATAATGCATTATGATTTGTCATTACAGCGATATCCGATGTTTTCCTTGGCCGTTAGTCCACGTGGACTTGTCATAAGTTCAATGAAAACTTAATTGGTTGATTGTTATATCTGGTTCATATTTTAAAAGATTATACCAGGCACGTCTGAATGTTAATATCGAGTGGAATCTGGAAACTTTGTATTATTATACGTCTGAGTCATTGATAATTTTACAGACTCCTGGTAGAGTATAGTATATTCTGGTAGATACATATATTTTTGCACAGTCTCACGGAAATACGAGGCTACTATAATAAACATGCAATGTTAAAAACAATAGTAAAATTTAATTATTTTTATTAGACTTATAATAATTACATACCTATATCTGTCTATTAAAGAAACAAGTATTTATACCGCATAATTCTATATTCAATTATACGTATCCGCTTATTAGTGAAACTAAGTTAACTACATCCACACAGTGCTGAATACGGCTCTGAATAGAATGACTCTATACCGGCAGTCTAGTAGCAACACGTGCATGGAAGTTGTGGCAATACTAATCTGCAAACGTTTCGATCTTAGTGAAATAAAGTATAGTAGAGGTTCTTGATTTGCCTCTTGTCTAATTTCCTCATTTCTGTATCTACCCATAGCTGTTATTTTTGCTTCGTATTTTTTTCTATACGCCCTACCAATAAGATACATATCAGGAGAGGTGTTAGACGTGTCACCAAAGTTATTCATCAGTGCATTTGAGCATTCCTTGTCTTTCCATACCATTTGTCCATTCCTTGTTTTTTCATGAAAAAATACCATACGGCTTACTTAATTTTATAAAAATATATTTTAGAATTTGGAAGAAGTTGAAATAGTGGTTGAAACTTGCGCAGATTTAAGGATACCTCCAATGCAACAGGGAAACTCCAACGCGGGCGTTCCGGGGAAGTACAGCTTTATCCACAAAGTTATCGATGGAATTACTGTACATGTCAATACGGTCAACATTCTCTTTACCAGTCCAGCATTCTCTGCGTCGGTACAGGTATGTATATATGACTTTACAACAACTAGAAGAATTAGTAATTCCTTGTAACATTTAATTAGTATAAAACTAAAAAAACGTGCCAATAATAATTTTATTTTTGACGTGACATCTTAGAAAATTGACAACAAGTCAACAATCTATTTTGCCAACGGCGTTTTTTCATGGAACTTCTTATACATGCTTGTATTAAGTAGGTAAAAATACTTATATATTCCTAGTTAAAATTATAATACAGGTGAAGGTTTTTTGTTTTATTGCAAATTGATTTTTTTTAAATCATGTGTGCGGAATAACCGTACTATTTTACAGCGCCATCATGTATATGGAACAACTTTGATATTTTTTCGACAAACGGCCATGCATTTTTCATCACGTACCCAAATTTTAGGGAACCATATGCATGATTACTTATTAACTTTAAGTTTCAGATAACTTCGTTCTTTCAATCTTTTTATTGTTCGTATACGCATAGGAATCAGACACAAATACCAGTTGGATGGCTTCTCGATGACACTAGCTACATATTTCTATGTCTCTTTATTGAAACAATCGAGTAACTAAGAAAATATTTTTAGATATCAAGAATAGTAGTGGATTCGAAAAATCATAAATTTCAACCCTCCGACTTAAGAATGACGCGTCTGAAGAATCAAGCAAAGGGACAGGTATTGATATTTAAAGAACTGAAATGGGACACTGTGAGAATTGAAGCTAAATCTACCAAAGATAAAAATTTAACCCCTTTGAGACTTATTATCAATGAAGCTAGGTGTAGGATTGTGATAAAAAAGAGATTATCAGGTAAGTATTTTTTTAAATGTTTCAAGATTATTTTTTATGACAGCGTATTAGATATTACAATTAGATTGTGTCAAATCATATCTTTTAAGTATTGTAAAGTTACTTTAACCCACATTTGTCCAGCACTATTCGCTTGGGAATCCCGTGCTGTTACATGGCGATCATAATGTCATTGTTAAGTAATTGTCGTAAGTACTAAAGTGTACAATTCGCATTTAAGTAAAGTACAAATTATTTTTGAAATCAGAAAAAGAAAAACAGTTACGTAAATTAACGTGTGAAAAAAATGGGACGAAAACAATCCAAAGGAAGAATTAATTAATAAAGGGGAAAGTCCCAGTGGTCTTCTGTATACTTACACTACAGTTTAAATAAACTTGTGAATAACTTCTAGTGCAAAATGGCGTTTAAACAATATTTTAACGAAAAATTTCGGACCGATGTCTTCTTATTCAACTATTCGGAAAGCCAGTAAATATTAACATCATTCAAACTTATGCCCTACGGCCGATAAACCCATAGAAGAGCTAGAAGCGTGGTATGCTGACGTAGAAAAACTTATAAAGATGACCAAAAAACGAGACCTAACATTTATCTTAGGTGACTTTAATGCTAAGTTAGGTAGAGGAAAAGTTTCTGGATTGATCGGAGACTTCGGACTTGGAGCAAGGAACGACAGGGGAGAGAGAATGACCGAATTCTGCCAACAACACAACATGGTAGCGACAAATACATGGTTTAAATTACACCCTCGCAGATTGTACACTTGGACTTCACCACAACACAAGAGTAATCCGTAACCAAATAGATTACATATTGGTCAACAAAAGATATCACAATGCAATCATCAGTGCAAAAACATATCCTGGAACTGACATCAATTCCGATCATAATCCTGTTGTTGCAAAAGTTCGCGCAAGATGGAAACTAATAAAGAAACAAAAACCTCAACACCAACTATTAGACATCCAATTATTGAAAAACGACACCATACATCAGACAGTAAATAAAGAATTAAACAAAAATTTAGGAAATATCGACCACAATAGAATTAGCGAGTACGATGACATAAACGTTCTGTGGAAAACTATTAAAGAACAAATGAACAATGTAACGGAAAAACATCTAAAAGTAACACCTAGAAATAACAAACAGGAATGGATGACAGAAGAGATTTTACAATTAATGAACAAACGAAGAGAATCTAAAGGAAAAAATGACAAGGACGGAGAATACAAAAGACTAAATAGAATAATTCGAAAAAAAAAAAATAACCGAAGCAAAAGAGAAATGGCTGGAAACAAAATGCGTTGAAATAGAAGAACTGCAACAAAGGCACGATTTTTTTAATTTACATAAAAAGGTAAAAGAGTTTACATCGACTACCAAGAGAACGACTTTTCACACCATGCTGAACACGGATGGCAAACTGCTAGAATCAACGGAAGATAAACTGAAAGAATGGGAAAACTATATTAAAATTCTTTTTCACGAAATACGAGAAGAACCAAGATTGGAAAATAACAACGAAGGGCCAACAATTCTGAAATCTGAAATCATAAATGCAATTAATCATCTCAAAACAAATAAAAGCCCAGGTCCAGACGGAATATACCCAGAAACGTTCAAATTAATCAGCGAAGAAAATATCGAAATATTTGTCCTTTTATTCAATCGCATTTATGATACAGGTAAAATACCCCAAGATTGGCTGGAGTCAATATTCATCCCACTACCAAAAAAGCCAAACCCACAACACTGCAATGAGTTCCGTCTGATAAGCCTTATGAGTCATGCAGTAAAAGTCCTACTAAAAATCGTATTTCGTTTTTCGAACAATTATTCAATTAATATATTAAATATTAAGGATGCATTATTTAGTATGAAACTAACGGTTCTGATTGAAACTGTTCACAGAAAACACGCTAAACATGCTAGTTCGTTTCCTTATATAGATTTAACCATAAATAACCAATTCAGAATGATGTAACACAATACAGTGTGTTTATGTACATATCTTTCGTATTTCAGACTCATTCATTTTGGGTTCAAGACTGGCAATTATTTTAAATGACTTAATGTGGTTTTTTACTGATTCTCAACTTAAAGCAGCTTTGTATTTCATCGACTCTCTTACTGATCTAATACAGAAATCAACTCAAATTACCAGGCGAACCAAAGCTGCTAGAAAATTAGAGGTAAGTCACTATTATCGTAAATACAGATTTATCTAATTAACGATAATTAAGATCCATGTGATTATGGAATAAGGCACAAGTCAGTACTGCACACCAATTTAATTTTTGGGTCCTTATCATCATCTACCAGAGGTATCCCAATAACTAATAGGGAAGTTCTTTGGGTATACACGATATGTGTGAATAAGTTATAACCAAATAAACACCCGTTGGTAAACTGATGATAATATGACATTTACAATTATGTCATAATAATATTGTTCTGAAGCTATTTTCTTGTGACATTGTAAATTAATTACTATTTAACTGGGAATAAGCCACAATTAAAGATAAAAATACGTTTATTGACGTTTCAATTTCCACTTCGGAAATCGTTCTCAAAATACAAACAGTAAATTAAACAAATTTTGTTTTTTGTTACATAGTGAAAAATTCTTCTAATAATTTAATTTTATCTGACTCATTTATATTGACAATTCAGACATACATTATGCATTTTAAAGTAGACGACTTTAAAATGATATTGCCAATATTGTTGAGTTGCGCTCCTGGGACGACTTTACTTATAAGATAGTTCATTCGATTACATGAAATCAACTTTAACTTGAGAATATCCGTCAGAAAAAAATCATAGCATGTAATTCGTCTTTAAAAAGACAAACACATGACATGATGACAGTAAAATTCTCCTGTTAGTGATTCCATAGTAAATTATGAGGGAAAAACCAGGAAAAAACCTCATAATACTATCCCGACATTGTAAGTATTTGTTCGTGAATTTAGTTTACCTTCAACAAACATCAAAATTCTGATTTTGTATGTTACGTTATTTAAAAAACATAAATGATGTATCCTCTATATGTTACTGACTTACTAATACTGGTATTTTCTTATTAATAACTTCCTCTTTCAATATTGGTAACCAGATCCTACTACATTTTGCCGAGGAATTTGCGACACAATTGGCCTGATTTAGCATAATTAGAGCCGCTTCTTTGATTTTTCTTTTTTTACCATCCGTTTCCATTGAACCCTATGTTCATTTTCCCACGCTGTTTACATATTTGAGATCTATCAAATTATCTATTTTTAATATAAGATTGATGTCTATTTTGAGATTGAAGTTGAGATCTATTTTGTCCAAAACCAAACCTAATAATGAACAGGAAAGGACAAAGAATTGCATTTATAAAATACCTTGTGAATGCGATCAGTTTTATTTAGGTGAATCATCAAGGCCATTAAAAATTAGAATAAGTGAACATCAATCTTATATTTAAAATAGAGAATTTGATAGATCTCAAATATGTAAACACGCTGGGATAATGAACATAGGGTTCAATGGAATAATTCAAATGTAGTCCTAAAAGAAACGGATGGTAAAAAGAAAATCAAAGAAGCGGCTCTAATTATGCTAAATCAGGCCAATTGTGTCGCAAATTCCTCGGCAGAATGTAGTAGGATCTGGTTACCAATATTGAAAGAGGATGTTATTAATAAGAAAATACCAGTATTAGTAAGTCAGTAACATATAGAGGATACATCATTTATGTTTTTTAAATAACGTAACATACAAAATCAGAATTTTGATGTTTGTTGAAGGTAAACTAAATTCACGAACAAATACTTACAATGTCGGGATAGTATTATGAGGTTTTTTCCTGGTTTTTCCTCATAATTTACTATGGAATCACTAACAGGAGAATTTTACTGTCATCATGTCATGTGTTTGTCTTTTTAAAGACGAATTACATGCTATGATTTTTTTCTGACGGATATTCTCAAGTTAAAGTTGATTTCATGTAATCGAATGAACTATCTTATAAGTAAAGTCGTCCCAGGAGCGCAACTCAACAATATTGGCAATATCATTTTAAAGTCGTCTACTTTAAAATGCATAATGTATGTCTGAATTGTCAATATAAATGAGTCAGATAAAATTAAATTATTAGAAGAATTTTTCACTATGTAACAAAAAACAAAATTTGTTTAATTTACTGTTTGTATTTTGAGAACGATTTCCGAAGTGGAAATTGAAACGTCAATAAACGTATTTTTATCTTTAATTGTGGCTTATTCCCAGTTAAATAGTAATTAATTTATGTCATAATAAGTGATAATAATATAATATCGAGGTGTTGTAGTTGGTGGAGAATAATATAGTTTCAAATTTTGTTTGCTTCTGTCATGGGTTAAGAATTATGATAAAAATATTTTTTATAAAATATAATTTATATTTATTTCGTCATTAGGAACTTCCAGAATATCAAGCACAACTGTCACAAGAAGAATCCGAAGTGGTAGACAAATATAAACTATTCGCTGCTCACGATGTCATCGAAACTTCTTACCATTTGATATCTCATCAAATAATGTTACATTTAAGCGACGATGAAGGAGGTGAGTTAATATTTTTTCAATATTTTTTATGATTTACCGATAGTGTAAAAGACATATTAGTGAAATTAATCTTTGTTTTTAATGAAAGATTTCCAGTTAGATCAAAGTTTTATCAAAGTTATACATCATCATCATCATCATCAGCCAATAGATGTCCACTGAAAACCGTACAATATTTATTTCAGACTCCAGCTTGTATTTACGTTTCGCGTATTTATATACATATTTAATCCTTCTTCTAGAACTTCCCTCGAAACCGGAACAGGATCCCCGTAAATTTTTCTCGAGGTAGAAGGAATGTCTGGAAGTTGAAAACCGGCTGCTAACATTTGCATAGTCGAATTACCGAATTATCAGGTTTATTCGGTGTGATCAGGCCTGGCATTACAATATCCTTTTTTACTCCGTGGCGTTAAGACTGTGCGTGGGTTTTAGCCGAATTGATAATATGCCCATTATCACTTTTCTAATCACTGTTTTCCAACAATTTCTGGGAATTCTGTATGTGAGCATGTACGAAAATGGATCCTTTTTGGTCTAGAAGGCCCTGCTGCAATATTGTGACTATTATATATACTGCACTATTATAATTTATAATCTAATGTAATCATTATAATTTATATCAAAACTGTGGAAACTATAAGCACACCTGCACTTTTACTTTTAGCATACTTAAAGCGACTGCTCCAGTTAATAAAGCCGATACTCATGAGCGATAGGGATACTGAATGTTTTAATATTTCGGTGACGAAAATAATTTCGTTTCAACCGTTTAGTAAAGGCTTAGCCATCAATGTAAAATCTCATCGATAACGTACACAATTTTCTATACCATATATTTTTTGTTTAGCTGGCCGTTCATCTCACCCGAATCTAAAAAATGGAGACGCCCTGCACATTAGCCTAAAGAAATTTCACGTAGATTACTATCCATATCATTTAGCCAAAGGTAAGTCTATAATAGCGAATCATCGAGAAAAATCGTAATTAGAGTATGTTGTGGAATGACTTTGTTTAGCAATTCAACCATTTTAATAACATGATTTATCCTTGCCGATATAAACATACTGTAAACGCTATCATTTCGGTGAAATTTAAAACAACATTTATCTACTCTACTCTAATTAGGATTGTTATATTATATGTATTGTTTATATTGTGTATATTAATAATTTTAGGTAACAGAAAACATTGGTTGAAATACAACACGAGCTTTGTGCCACACTCATTATGGCAAGAACAGGCGCTGAATTCATTCAGGACCAAATTTTTAAATTTGATAGATCAACACAAACCACTACATACTCCTTTAAATCGTCCAATGAAGGTAAGATGGTAGCATTTTTAACTAATATTTCGATTTCTATTCTGGAAACCATTTTTAAAAAAGATTATTTTAAAAAATTCTGAGAAAAACGTATAACCAAAATGTGGAGGCCAAGTATGGCCCTCTTAGTCTCTATCTTGTGAACAATATTTATATTTAATATTCTTTAAACCTGCCCCTTAAATTTCGAAAACTTTACGACACAAAGGGTTGGGTATGTTATCCATTTCTTGGCTATAAATCCTAAGAAAACAGAGAGGAAAAGAAGAATCACGGGCTTAATAGCCCCAAGGATTCTAAACTAAAGTCTAAATGTTTCTGACGAGTTGAAGTACCTTGGTACTACCCTTGACAGGAAGTTAACATGGAATTCACACTTGGATGGTAGAGCTAAAAGAGCATATATTGCCTATGAGCAGTGTCGACGAACAGTCGAACGCACCTGGGCCCTTTCGCTCAGGGTGATCGCCAGGGTCTACACTGCTGTCATTAGGCCAATGCTAACTTACGGATCTATTGCTTGGGTACCAAAAGTGCTACAGGCAACAGCGATAAACAAACTAAACCATATTTAACGGATAGTTTGCATAAATATAACAGGGGCCATGAAAACAACACCAACTGCTGCAATGGAGTTGATCATTGCATCACGCCTCTAGATATATATGTCAAAGAGGTGGCGCTAGCGACAATGATGAGACTGCGCTCAGCTGGTGCAAACCTTGATGTAGGAATGGGTCAATTGAGAACTCGTTTCTAGCTGGGAGAGCTGGATGCGCTATCACTGTTACAGATAGGCTGTGACTCAATTGAACCAAAGTTTGTCTTTAACAAACCGTACAAAATTGAAACAATACATATAGGGAGACAAACGTGGCAAATGTCTATTTCATATACACCGATTGCTCCAAAATGAAAGAAGGCTCAGAATGTGGGATATACTCCAGATCACTGAACCTAAGAATAAAGTGAGGTATGGGCAAAAATGCCAGCGTAGTTCAGACAGAACTGGCTGGTATCTCCATATCCGCAAAAGAGATAACTCAAAAAGATATAGCAGGGAAAATTATAATGATCTGCACAGATAGCAGACAAGCGCTATTAACCTTGAATAAACCACGTGTCACATCAGGGTTAGTAATGGAGTGTCACGAGTCACTAACTCAAGCTTCGGATGGTAATACCATCATCCTGAGGTGGGTTAAAGGACACAATAGGAATAAAGGCAACCGCATTGCTGACCAATTGGCTAGGAAGGTGGCAGCTCCAAGACTCTTAGGACCTAGGGATCTTTTTAGTTGGTAAACTACAACAATCGCGGAGATGAGAAGAAGGGCAAGGATGTAAACTTGCCAGGGAAACACTAAGTAACCTTGAAGAGTCAGCATCAAAGAAGTACTTGAGCTGTTCAGAATTAACAGCACACAATTACCACGTGCATTTTCAAAAGAGCGCGGGCCAATTATGCCATTTAAAATATATCCGCCCAAACTGTAATTTTTGGAGAATGAAAAGGTCATTGGTGCTCTAATTTAGGGTTTTCTCTACTCCAAAAATCTGCAATTCAGCTTACATGCACATTTACGTACATATACATTTAAGTGCAAGTCGACTTCTTCAAAGAAGAAAATATTCTTGCTCCTTGTACTTAATTAGATAATCCAAATTGGTATATATCTGGGATATCCTTATTAAATATAGATGTCTTACTATATATCTTAAAGGGATGCACTTTCAGTCCAATTTCAATATTCAGCAACAATACGTTCAGTATCGACAAAGCATCTAAATTCTTACCGTGGACATCCTCGAGTCATCTCTCACAGACACGTTTACTTGCGCCACGGTTTCTTGAGTTTTCCAGCTCCTTGGACTTAATTAGATAATCCAAATGATATAATTAAAAAGTACAATTTCTTCATAGATTTTAATCCATTTACAAATTACTTTGAGCAAAATGTACTTGGCGCTTAACGTGTTAAATACAATTACAATTACTCGAAGAAAAGTAATTGTAATTATGAACTATTTTAATGTAGAAATTACCCAGCTCTGCTCACTATACTATTTTCATTGCCACGAACCATATATTGCAGAATCCAGATAGCACACCTCAAAGTCCAGAATCAAAACCACAACCAAACAGCGATCAGCGAAATAAGAAAAAAATTGAAGCTAAAATAGCTAAACTTATGTCAAGTTGTATAGTGTTGCGGATAGAGGATTTTACAATATACAAAGTGTCTTCTTCCCAGAAAAAAGGACTGAAAGAATTCATTTTTGGTACGTAAATTTATTTTTTATGTTTGTTTAAATAAACATTTTATACTTTCTAATCCTCAAGCCTACTTTTCTTTTATAATTTAACCATTTAAGATATACTTTTATAGAAAAATTAACATGATAACTATATCTTTAAATGTTTATAACTATAAGATCATTGTTAGTTTTTCCTACTTCAATGTAATATCAATATTATATGTATTTGCTTTATTTGGCTGTCTTTAACATTAAAAATGGTTTTTAAATGTTAACATATTCCTTGCGTTGATCTGGCAAGATCTTTTGTTGACAATTTCTAACTTTCAAATTAGCATCCAAGAGCCTAAAAGTATCAGAAATAACAGAATTATTTTAATATTTTAAATAAGTCTCGAAATTCATTTAAAAATAAGCATAACAGTTACATATAGAGTGAAAAAGACGAAACAAATCTAGGTACAGTAGCTGCCATGATAATTGGTAGTTTTAAAAAAGTGAAACTTGGATTATCGCAAGGAATAAAAGCATTAGTAAAAGATAGAACAAAACGACGGTAACAATTATTATCAAGGACTTGAGTTAAGAAATAGTTTCTAAGAGAAAAGGCTGAGAGACCTTAGTCCAACAAATGTAAGAAGGCGGTCACCAAACCTCAAACCTTCTGATATGCAAGTCCCGTTACATTGCTTATCTTCTCTATCGTATTGGGAACCAGTTGTAGTGTACTTTACGTACGTATCTAGTTCTATCAAATCAAATCTGGTCCATACAATAAAAAGCGGTCCGGGCAACTGTAGCATTTGCATGTAAAATGTCTAGCTGTGTTCAAAGTTTTTCCAACAGAGAGCAGATAGTTAGATGTACCGACCCTTGTGCGTCACATTCACATTGGGTATTGGAGTCAGTAGATAACAGTCCATGTTTGCTTTACACTTGGACACTACGATCTAGATGTTCTACATGTTAAGGAATAGCTTCTTTTGGTCGCTAAAACCAGTTCTATCTGGTAGATCTTGGGTCAGTTGAATTTTGTACGGATGCAACGCACAATTCGCCAAGTTGTGGTTTGTGAAAGTCCGAGTTCTTGTGAGCGAATTGAAATGTACTGCCTCGGATTCTTCTGCATATTCTCACGGACTGCGATGATGTTTTCGGCAGATCTTGCGTTTCGTCGACGTACAGGTCGCTGGTTGATTGTTTACTGAACCGGTGGACAATTCACTACATTGCGAATTTATCCACCACATTACGAATAGTCCTCTGAGTAGGACGATTATGCGAAGTTCCGTTCTCTTTTCGTAGAGGGAAGAGTGTAAAAAGTAGTGTTTTTCAAGGGTAAACTGTAGATGCAATGTCGGAATAAAAGGTTATTCCTAACATCGTCGAATAGCTTCCAGTAAGTTGGATTTGCAGTTCACCTAATTCGCCATTGAAGAGAAGTTTCCTGATTTTTCATTCTTCATATAGAGATCGCTACTAGCGTACACAGGGATTGTATGTTACTATAACGGCCAAATAGTTAAGAGCATTTCATTTCAGTTCAAGTTAGCACAAGTGCTCCTGATGAGAGGTGAATACTTCGAAACACGTGTGGAGCAATAGTTAAGCTTGAGTTGAAAAGAAATGCAGTTGTCTACATATGTATGCGTTTGTTAAGCACCAAAGACCCATTTTTCTAGGTAATATCAAAGGTGTATTATATTAAAATCGTAGTATATCAAAATAGTGTTTGTAACATACCAATATTGTATGAAATTTACCCTTTTTACTTTTTTCACAGAAAATTTTTTCTCATAAATCAACAGTTTTCAATATAAATGATAAAATGTTTGGAAAAACGTGGTTTTCGCCCATTTAAAAAAAGTTTGTAAAAAGAAATATGTTATTTACAAGATTATCTCCTCATTGAAATTGCATAAAATTGCAATATAAATATCTTTATACCTATTCCAGGTTCTCAGTTATCGTCCTATTAATATTTCTTTCATACGCGTTTTTTTTTTTTAGATTTTTTTGTTACTGAAGTGGTTAATTATTTTTGTTTTATTCAATAGCTCAGCATAAAAGGAAGGATAAATGTTATTATACAGGTATCTATTCCTAAAGACCAGGTAGTTTGAAGTAAGAGTAGTTAAAAATGCATAAAGCTTTTAGAAAGTGAATGGTTTGATCATTATCGTTTCTAATTACCTAAGAAATTTAACACTTGTATCAGTTTACATTTTACCAAAAATTCTGCAGCACCCTATCATTATTGATGGCATAAATATATACTTAACACATAATCACACATTTTTGATTCTATGCATAGGTTAAACTTTTTAGGTAATTAAATTGATCATCTTAAAGATAATAAAAAGGTTATGTTAATCGTTTACCTGTTTACCTGTATCACATATATTTGTGTTATCATATTCTTGTTGAATATAAAATTATCCTTCAATCACTTTATATTACTGTTTTCATTTTGAGTTATCTACTTATAATTTAATCCAGATGGCGGAACTCTAATATAAATACTAAAACATACCCAGGGAAAGATTAGCACAGAGACCTCCAATTACGTGTAAAATTAAACAAATCCAATACATCTAAATAAGTCACCAATTTATGGGACCTCAAATATAATGATAGCTTTAAAACAATAGCTACATTAGAGATTGATAAACTTAAATCATAAGAACAACCAAATGGCATTGATTATCTGTGGATTAAGACGAAATCTGTTGTAAAAAATATAGCAAAATAACAAAGAAACAATAAATAAATAAGTCCAATAATGTTGGATCTCCTAGAACACTTGGTGTAAAATCAAAACCCGAAAAAATCTTAAATCTCAAGGACTCAAAACACCTGAAATACGCTTAGAAGGCTCTGAGGTTAGTAAACAAATAAAGCAATGTAGGAACGATTAAAATGAATGTCTAAATGATCTATGTAACGCAGAACCTGGTCTGATGATTGGACTAAATCAGTAAACATCTCTATCCACAAAAAAGGCCCGAAAGACTTATGCAAAAAAAGATCACACCATAGCGCCAAATATTACATCAGACCTGACAGAGGCACTATATACATATTTTAAACATAAGACAAATTGTAGAAAAGCCAGGAATTGAACATACCAACTTATTTATGCTGTATTGACTACACCGAAGCGTTTGACTGCGTGCGTTGCAATAACTATGAAACATCCTCGAAGAAATGCATGTAAAAAAATCTGTACGACAATAACACCGGCTTGATTAAGGTGGAAAGTGAAATAACTGAGTGTTTTTCTGTCAACAAGGGTGTGCGACAGAGGTGCGCATTGAGCCCCACGCTCTTCAATATACACGGTAAGTGGATTTTGAGGCATGTTTTAAAAAACTGGGAAGGAGTAATCACCATCAATGGCACTAAAGTTATTAACCTTTGGTACGTTGATCATACCACCTTCAACGCTGCATCTATAGAAGAAATAGAAGAACTCATACATCAAGTTGCAGAAAAAAAGGTTGGAAGTCGGTTTCCAGATTAACAAACAGAAGACTAAAATAATGACAGTAACCAAATAATTAAAATATAAAGAAAATCTATATCATTGAAAGTGTTAACATTTTCACTTCTCTCGGCTCCTTAATAACAAACCAAGAGGGATAGATAAAAACATGGTTATAAGTTCCACATGCTTCCCACATAAATACATACACAAAATGACATGGATTTCACCAGATGGAACCACAACCAATCAAATCGACCATGTGCTGATAAACAAAAGGGCAGCCCGTAGTATCTCAGATGTAAGAACACGACGATCATCGTGCTTTGTATCAGACCATCTTTTACTCCAAACCAAATTTAGATGCGAAGTTAACAAAGAAAGAAACGAAAGACAATAAAGAACAAACAAACTGGACCTGGAAAAATAGAAGATTCAGAAATGTAACGAGAAGTTCGAAGAAGAAGTCGCAAATGAGTTAAGGACGCTAGAACTTCACTCAATAGAGCACAAATAGAATAGTATCAAAACAGCAGTACTGACAGCGGCAGCGTCCACCCTGGGAAACCAGAAAAAAGCGATAAGAGGAGCATGATTCGATGACGAGTGCAGACAAGCAATAGAGGAAAGAAATGAAGCACACAAAATGAAATAACAATAAGAACACGGGAAAGACGAACATCATTTGAAGTCGCAAGACGGAAAGCAAGATTTGTAGAAATATAAAAGAGTCTATGAAAATGGACAAATAGAAAAAATCGAAGAAAATTTCAAAAACAACGAAATTAGATGGGCTTACGAATACCTAAAAAAGATAAAAAGTGGAGAAGATCAGCCACAGACAAGCAAGGGTGGAGGCAAAAAATAAAGGAGGCCAAGTCTCAATTTGGGCTGTAGTGCTGTAGAAGAAGAAGAAGAATAGGATAGAAGAAGATGCAGTGAATAAATTAGAACAATTGCACTGGCAATTAAGCTATGACAAAACTTACAAAGATTTGGAAAGTCTTAACACCAAAATACGAATAGTTAAAAACCTGGTATTCCCGATATTCCTATACGCATCTGAATTGAAACAAACATACAAACTATTTGAGGTCTATTGCTGTCGTCGCATGTTAAAAGTGTTTTGGACTGAAAAAAGAATTAATTTACCAATCCTCAACAGATTCATCCAAAGAAGAGTCTAGATACCATAGTAGCTTAAAATATTACCACTTGGGGCATGGTCCATGGAAAAAAATGTCGAGGAAGATGGCCAACGAGATATACGGATTTTATCATGTAACTCGTAGGTAAGACTATACCAAAATTAATAAAAATAACGGAAGATCGAGGTAAATAGAAACTAACAGTACAAGAAATTTCACGAAATCACGATGCTTGAAAACAAGCTACCGACTAGGAAGAAAAAAAAGAATTATAATCTTTCCTCATTATTTTCTACCACGCGTCAAAAAATATTTACCATAAAAGCATTACTGTCGTTTAGCACTTAACCTTCTCTCCCTCTTTTTGTGCATGGAATTTTCTTCAAAATTTT